GAGACTCTTATCTCCAATAAACCACTCAGAAAACCGGAAGTGGCACTGTGGCTCAAGAGGTAGAGAACTAGCCTTGAGTTGAAGAGCTGAGGGACAGCGCCCAGGCCGAGTTCAAGCCTCATGACCAACCCTCCTCCCGCCCCCCCCCCCCAAAAAAAAAGACAAAAAAAAAGATTAAGCACATAATCCTGAGTAGTTCAGAAAAGAATTTCCCCAGTGCCAGTCACCGGGTGGCTCACACCTGTAATCCTAGCTACTCAGGAAGCTGAGATCTGAGGATTGCAGTTCAAAGCCAGCCCAGGCAGGAACGGCCATGAAACTCTTATCTCCAATAAACCACCAGTGGTGCTGTATCTCAAGTGGTAGAGCGCTAGCCTTGAGCTGAAGAGCTGAGGAGCCCAGGCCCAGAGTTCAAGCCACATGACTGACAAAAAAAAAAAAAAATAGAATTTCCTAGTATGTGGAAATTCTAAAGTTACAAGATGATCACTGGGTGGCGATGGATCATGCCTATAATCCTTGCTACTCGGGAGGCTGAAATATGAATGAGGATCATGGTTCAAAGCCAGCCCAGGCAGAAAAGTCCCCCTGAGATTCTTATCTCTAATTAACCACTTAAAAACCTGTGGTGCTCTGGTGGCTTATACCTGTAATCCTAGATGCTCAGTAGTATGAGATCTGAGGGTTGTGGTTCAAAGCCAGCCAAGACTCATCTCGAATTAACCAACAGAAAACTAGAAGTGGCACTGTGGCTCAAGTGGTAGAGGCTCACCTTGAGCTGAAGAGCTTAGGGAAAGCACCCAGGCCCAGAGTCCAAACCCCATGACCAACAAAAAAAAGATGGTGGCACTGCAGCTCAAGTTGTAGAACGCTAGCCTTGAGCAAAGACAGCACCCAGACTCTTGAGTTCAAGCTTCACGACAAACAAAAAAAAAAAAAAAAATAAGAACTTAATTGCCAGGAACAGGTAGCTCACGCCTATCAGGAGGCTAAGATCTAAGGATCATGGTTCAAAGCCAACCCAAACAGAAAAGTCCCTGTGAGACTTTTATCCCCAGTTAATCACTCACAAACCAAAAGTGGTACTGTGGCTCAAAGTGGTAAAGCACAAGCCTTGAGTTAGCTCAGGAACAGCACCCATTAGACTTGTATGGTGCTTATGTCTATGTTAGAATGTTCTAGCCTCCTGGCTTACATGAGGACTATATATATGGTCTTCTCTTTGTTGTCCCACAGGATACTTTGTATATTTTGAATCTATGAAATCTATCAACCTATCTATAATCATTTACAAATATGGGGGGTGCACACATCAATCCTGGGACTTAAACTCAGGGCTGTGGCATTGTCTGAGTTTTTTTGCATAAGTCTAGTGCTCTACTACTCGAACCACAGCTCCACTTCCAGCTGTTTGCTGGTTAATTGGAGATAAGAGCCTCACAGACTTTCTTGCTGGAGCTGGCTTCAAACTACTATCTCAGCCTCCTGAGTAGCTAGGATTACAGGCATAAGACACCAGCTAGCATTTATTAATTTTAAACCATATCAGGTTTTAATACTGAAGTGGGTTTGTATTATGGTTTCTAATTTTGTTTCATAAGTTTATATTTGTGATCTATATAGAATCATAGAGATAACCAAGATATCTCTGCTCTCATAGATTCATGATAATCTCACATTCTAGAAAAGAAAAAACATATCATCATGGCACAGTATATAGGTACTAAAATGTACAAAAAGCTGTTCTCATGTCACATAATGTATAGATAGTACTCAACTATAGTACTCAACTAACAAGATCCTCAATAAACTCCTGAGCTGAAATTTTACATATAAAATTAGCTTAAATGGGTGACATATATAAGATTTCAGGAATTAAATATAAACTTTCTTTTCTTACAGTTTTGGCACATGATGAACTCTAGCACTGGTTTATATAAGATGGAAGTATGACAAGAAACCTGCCACCGTCTGGGGAACTGGGGAACTACTGCTAAGAATAGTAGGAGGTTTCATTATGAACAGTGACGCATTTTTCAATTTAAAAAAAATTGCTTAAAATACATACACTTAACATATAGAAGTTTATCTAAGAAGTGACCACTGAGTGTTTACAACTAGATGGTTACTCTTTCCTGACTGTTTACAACACTGGATTTTCACCAGTTCAAGTTAGTTCTTTCCAGATAGAAGATCTCTGACTAGCCATCTCTCATGGGTATTAATCAAACCATGTACATACACCTTTTTCACATTTCTTCAAGAAAGAAAAAAAAATTCATGGTTATCTCAAATAAGAATACTTTATCATTTTTAAATGTAAATAATATTCTGTCACTTGTCTTAAACTACATGAGGTTTTAATCCTTGCTCTATATTGTTTCTAATCCTTCTATTTCATAAAATAATATTCCATAGTCATGTGTGTATGTATTTTTTGAAAGAGGATTGGATATTTAATAAAAAGCCAAGTATGTATATGGTTGGCTTTCTGGTTGTTTCAATAGATTAATAATAAATATTTTTTTTAATTTTATTTATTTATTTATTTTGGGGTCCGGTTGTGGGGCCTGAACTCTGGGCCTGGGCCCTGTCCCTCAGCTAGCGCTCTACCACTTGAGCCACAGAGCCACTTCCGGCTTTTTTCTTTTTGCTTATGTGGTGCTGAGGAATCGAACCCAGGGCCTCAGGTATGCAAGGCAAGCGCTCTACCACTGAGCCACCTTCCCAGCCCCAATAATAAATATTTTTAAAGTATTCAAATATCTCAGGATCATAGGATTTGGGGACCAAAAAGACCTTAGTTGTCATTTGGATACCCGCTCCATCCCCTAAAGAATGAGAAAAGCGTAACTGTTTCAAAAGCTATACATAAGATTCTATTGAAAAATAGTTTGAAAAACCTAGGAGTTTAGTAGTTGGCCCGTGTGCTAGCTGCCCAATAATGGCTCTGTCACAGAGAGCCTTAGGAGAGCACCAAACCTCCAGGCCCATTGTCCTCTTTCTCTGCCTGTAGACAAGCTAGTTCACATTGGAACAGGGTCTCTGCCCAGAAGCTATTTCTCTTACTTTTCAGGACTAGGCAACACAGCCTAGAGTATTTGAAAAGTAACTATTCATCAGCCTTCTGTTGTTACAAAATGCCTGAGATAAAGGAGGAAAGGTTTGTTTCTGCTCAAGGTTTTCGTCCATGGTGGCTTAGCCACATCACTTTGGGCCTATGGCAGCATATGGCAGAGGCCTCATGGCTGCTGGGCCAGAAGAGAAGGGGACTGAGACGCCCACAGCACCTAAGGGCAGGACTTCCCAGTAGCCTAACTTCCTTCCACCAGGCTAAACTCCTGGAAGTGTCCAGTACCTCACAGGGAAGGCTTTTGATTAGCATATGGGCCTTTAGGGAACATTTAAGAACCAAACTACAGGAAGTGGAGCTGTGGCTCAAAGTAGTAGAGCACTAGCCTTGAGCAAGTGCTCAGGGACAGCACCCAGGCTCTGAGTTCAAACTTCAATACCCTTTCCCCAGCAGCAACTCTATCATCTCTCAGCCTCTCCCTCTCCAGTTACTCTCCTTATTAAGTATATGCCTGCAATAAAACCGTGATCCACACATGTATGGCCAGTCTGTGCAGTTGGAGACTGAGTGTACAAGGTTGTGCAAAGGAATTTAGAAAGCCTGAGTTCTGGTGATGTGTTCTAAAGTGCAGTGAAGGGCTAATACCCTTAATACCAATCCAGAATTGCTCAGTGAATACTTACGTATCTGCCCTGCTTCCTGATGGCTATTCACACAGCATTGCCGCTGTATCAGGTAGCAGCTTTGCTAGGCCTACTTTTCTTCCTCATATCACGTCTAGAGTAAGTTTCCCCAGACCAAGTCCCATGCTGGTGGCAGACCCCCATAGGGCATGCCACTGTGCACCTGGCAAGGGGCTGCACAATGACTACAAGGCACCAGTACTACAGGGACAGAAAGTCCCACAGCTGGCATACAGATGTAAAGCAAAGGCCTGCTAAGAAAACCTGACATGGTGAATGAGTTACTCATCCCTACCTCAAGACTCCATCACATAAGAGAGAAAAACAACACCCAAACAGGGGAGCCAGTGGAAGGGGGAAGCCTTTTAAAAACAAATGGCATGCTGCTCAAGGAAACACATGAATTCCCACCAAGGACTGAAGAACAGCTGCAGTCTCATCTGGCTCTGATCTCCCAGAAGTATTCTGTACACTGACATCCCCAGTGCTGTGCTGCTCCTTCCCGGGGCATCTCAATCCATGATCCTTATCCCAAGAATCCAGAAGGGAAAACCTGAGGCCTCAGTAGGGATAGAAGCAGGAATGTGTGCAGACTTTCTTAGATGGCCTTAAAATGGCAGTGATGAAGGCACTGACGAAAGGAGAGGGCTTTGCACCTGCACGGCAGGAGCCCTGGGACTGGGAAGAGAAGCTTGCTGCACCTGCCCAACCTCAGGTCAGGGAGCCCGCAGGCCTCGTCCAGGTGCAGCTATTGCCAAGATGTCATGAAGATGAAAAACTTAAGACACTTTCTGAGCTTTCTAGAAAAGTTCTAAACGTAAGTATTCTACCCTCTCCTCCAATCTTAGGGTATGAAGAATATAGAGCTGAGAAGAAAGCTACTTTGGTTTGCTGCGAAACATTTCACTAAGATTGCTTGCTGTGTCTCCCTCACCTTAGGGCAAGATAAATAAAGTGCTAAATCTTCATACTAAAATGAAGTAACTGTCCACATAACTCCTGCTTTCCTAGGACTTGGAGTAAGAGATCTTAACCATTCCTACACTTTATGCTTTTTTTCTGTCATCTCATTTAAGAGTTTTTTTTTTTTTGGAATCTGGTCGTGGGGCGTGAACTCTGGGCCTGGGCGCTGTCCCTCAGCTCTTTAGCTCAAGGCTAGCGCTCTACCACTTGAGCTACAGCACCACTTCCTCTCATTTAAGAGTTTTGCACTCAAAAGACAACATAAATCAACAGCAAGAAAGTACTGATATGACCATAAATATTTTTATTAAATGTGAAAATACACGGGCATAAAAATAGTACCCATATTTGTAGACATGTGTTGAGAGCCATTTCAATTAACGTTCAGTTCCCTTTCTACTAAATTGAGATGGATTAAGTTAATCATGTCTCATTCAAAACAAACCAGACCCTTAGGGTAAGAGTAATAATTTAACTTCTCAAATATCTCTAGTTTCGACCTCCTCTGTGCCCTGCTTTCCTCTTCAGGTAGGTGTTTTATCCACAGACGAGTACAACAGAATCTGTTGTTACTGTACATGAAGCCACGCAGTGGCTAATTTTACTCTTAAATCATTCAGCAAATGAGATCATCTGTTAAAAAGTATTCCCCCCTTAACATCACTTGAAACTACAGAATAAATTAAACTCTGCCACTAACATAAAAGGAATGATCTGATCTAGAACAGAGATAATCATGGTTGACAAATTAGCATTTGCCTTCCTTTGTAACTATGAAAGTCAACTGAATTCAAGGAAGGTGCCATATTTCTTTAGGTTATCTCATAGATGTGTACTAACTGAAAATATCACCAGCCATCTATGCCCATCACCAGTGCCCTGTATCTTTAAGGCAAATGGTTCTGACAGAGTTAACTAAGACGTATTTTTAACTTCTGCATGTTATACTTTCTTCATGGTAATATCAGTTCAACTTAGACCAACTGCAAACCTTTAAATGAAAAATATTCCTGGAGCTCCAGTGGCGCAATCGGTTAGCGCGCAGTACTTATAAGAAAAATATTCCCTGGCTCCAATGGCTTGCACCTGTAACCCAAGCTACTCGGGAAGCTGAAATCTGAAGGCCTGCAACCCAAGAGAAAAGTCTTCAAGACCAGCGAAAGGACTAAAGTTGTGACTCAAGCTCAACATGTGAGCTGAACAAGCATCAAGTCTCTAACACCAGCGCCACCAAAAAAAGAAAAAAAAATGAAAAATTTCTTTTATACACCAACAATAGAAAATGGTGCCAATCTCAAATTATTCTACTTGTTTTTTTAATAAAAACTTGGTTATCAGTCTTTTTCTGTTAAAATAAATGAGTTGTTTGTTTAGATTCCATTATCAGAGCTTGCTCCATAACCTGTTTTCCCATACTGATATTTAAAAGTAAACTTTTAACACCTACTAAAGGGGAAAATATTTTAAACTTAATATGTTACCTCCAATTCACAATAGTAAACTACTGACATCATTTTCTGGTTTTCATCTATTCATGGTATGAAAGCACAAACTTGCAGAACTGAGGAATGAATTCAATGCAGATTCCCTTTGTAAGCTTTGTGTTCACAGGCTATATTTAATACTTGCTGTTCTAGAGAGCATGCACAGCACCCAGAGCCAAGACACTGTGCTCCTGGAGATCACCAAAAGAGAGGGGTACGTTAGAACGGAGAAGAATTCAGCTAGAGCTACCTCTTATTTTTCCCAGAACTGCCACAAAAATAACCTGGTACATGCATCTCTAAGAACAGACTGAACTAAAGAAGTGGCCCAACAAAAGGAAAGAAAAGGAGGAAAAAGCTATTTCAGTAATGTTTACACATCTCATGATACCCAATGTAGGCAGGAGGGAGAGACGATGCTTCTGACTTCATGTCTCCAGGATTTTCAGTCACTGCTGAGGAGAGTAAACGTGGGTGGACACCAGATGACTCGGGATGGCCATCCAGGCTGGAACAGAAAGGCCATTCTCTCCATCAGCAAAGCACCAGAATCCAGAGACCTCGCTTCTTCCACGGCATTGGCACTTAGCACCTGGCACCAAGGCTTCCTCTTCCTCTTCACAGGCAAGTACTTCTGCACATTTCAGTTGATAACTATATCCACAGTTGTTCTGACTGTTACAAATGGGGGAATTAAAATGCAAATCCCTCTGGGCAGCAAGTTGAGGCAAACAGGCTAGAAGCATCTCCCATGTGGCCCAACCCTTGAACATCCCACAGCTAGCTCTGGCTCCTCAATCTTGGCAACTTTTCTCTTTCTCCAGATGGAGGAATAAGTGACTTCATGTTTCCTGTGCTCCAACTATGCAAATCCTCACATTTGAGAGCAGAGGCCACCGCTGTATTTCAGAGGTCAGTGACGCCATCACAAAAGGAGCCAGATTGAAAAATAGTCACATAACTAGCGAAGGACTGCGATTACCAACAGTAAATGAATAGACAAAAGTGAACTAGCTTGAAAATTATTTTCACACTGACCTAAAATTTTAGAAATGAAAGCTACAAGGTGTTCAATAGTTTCAAAAATGAACTGTTAAGCTGATTGGTAAGAAATAAATTCCAAGGGAGATGCAAAAAAGCACTTAAATGTTTGGCTCAATTAAAACCATCTGAACTATATTCTTAATGTCAAAAAGTCTTGTTACACAAGGGTTAAGGATAAAAGACAACCATTTGTGCTTGGCTACTACAGACATTCAGAGTCAAACTGCCTCCCATAACAAAATGCTTAATTTCATAAAGACAATATAGTAGACCCTTTAATGCTTAAAATGTTACAAAAGGCTTCAAGACAGAAACAAAAACCTTTCTAAAATAAAGGCAATAATTCTCATCTCTTAGATTTTAAATGCAGCATCAGTATTTCCATAAATTTTCAACATTCTTGATTTAGTAACACTCATTTTTTAGGGCAAAAATTATCTAATATATCCAGACTGAGTAGTACATTTCTTGCCTTTGTCTTATTTTGTAAGAAGGCTGAATCACAAGCCTGTAGACTTTGAGGCAAGAGACCACTGGCAGCATCCAGACATGCTCAGGGCAGCTGACAGCCAAGGCACCAGGAAGCAGCACATCCCACAGGGCTGACCCAATGACAAAGAAGGGAAAGGAGAAGCTGCCCGCTTGTATTGCTTCAAGGGGGAATCATGCATGCTGTGTTTATACTGACTGAGCAACTTTACCTTTCTAAGCCAATTTGGGCATAGAAATTGTATATAATTCAGAAGTCATTTGTTTAAAATGAACCTCAGCAATATTTTAAATACTACTACTCACACTATCTGAATCTATTTTATATATTTTAGTTTTTCCATTTAATGTTAAAAGGGCCCATTGCTTTTTACAATTAAATTCAAGTTGGAATTCTGCAAATATTCAGCAATAACCATGACTATATCCTCAACCAGTCCAGTTTATACCTGAACATGCTGATTACTATTGGGTAACAAATTTACCATGGACTCTGCTCTCTCCCCAGTGACCGCTGTGTTGGCTCTGGCACAGGAGTAAATGCTTACATATTCAAGGAGGCACAGGGATTTCACACTTGCAAGTGACTGCACTGACCAAAGTCTAAGCATATTTGTCCCTAAAGAACATAACGGCACAACTGTTCGTCCTCTCTAAGAATACTGAAACACACCCCCATGAGGATTCCAGCTCCTACAGGTGCTAGGCAAGGCTGAGAACAGAAGGCTCTACCTGCTCCAATGTGGAAAAATACAGACTGTGAGCACCTCCATAGGTGAGCTGCCTCAGACCACGTCTCCCCAACATTCAGAAATGAGCATGGGCTACTCTGTCAGAAACAGAACTTTTCCTACCTCCCTGCCCGCGTACATCACCAACCTTAAGTTTCAAATATGTAGGAGCAGCCTTTTCTCTATTAAAACAACTCTTTGGTCATGGACAAACTGAAATATTTGACTTTTTTTTTTCATTAGGATCCCAGAATAAGGTTTGTTTTTAATCTTAAAAAAAAAAAAAAAAAAAAAAAAGGAAAAAGCAGAAAAATGGTTTAATTGAAGTGGAATTTAAATCGAAATGGTCCTCCTGAGTTGAAGGGGTTGAACCCCTGCCATGAGTTCCAGCTTCTGTGGAAAGGGCTGCCTCCACCTCCCTGCTGGCTCTCGGCATCCAGGGGGTCTTCTCCATCATCAAACTTCTTCCTCATTTCTAGAAAAGAAGTCAGCAGGTTAAGACCCAAATACTGCTGGGTGTGGGGACACCTCTAGTCCCAGAACTGAGGCAGAAGCAGGAAAACCAGCCTGGGATATTGGGTACATGGCAAGACCTGTCTCAAAAAAGTCAAAGATACAAGCATTAACTCCTATGTGGGGACAGGACTCAGGGAATTGTTTCAGTGAAACAGTGATGCCTGAATGTTACATTACAGAAAGAGACCTCTAAAAGCAGGGCCTCTGACAGAGCATATCACCACCCTAACCTCCCAAAATGAAGCCTGCCATACCACATCTTCACCAACTACTACTACTGCTCCAAATATCTAATGGGTTTTCTAACAACCCCAGTAATCAGAATGGCATCAAGTTTTCTCAAACATGAGGGGAATGAGGCTCCCTAGAGGCCGATACAGACACATGGGAGGGGGACACAGCAAGGAATGCTGCAGAGTAGGATGACAGTGACTAGAAAAAGGATTCATCAGGCACCAATGGGTCTGGCCTGTAATCCTAGCTACTGATCCTAGAGGCTGATCACAGTTCAAAGCTGACCCAGGCAGAAAAGCTTGAGAGATGGTTGGCTTTCCTCATGCTCAGTGGAAGTCGGACTCTAGGTACAATGCAGCTGCCCAGTCCTCAAACTACACCTGAACTACTCAGAGAACATGGAAGACACTTGATAACTGCTGAAGAATAGAACAATGTTTTTATTCCTGTTGCAATTAGGGAGGTACACTTCTGTCATTTAGAAGCTTTTAAAAGATCATTTAATTTCAATTCCTCAAATTGAATAGATGCTTAAACAATTTACTGGGGCAAAATTTGATTTCCTATTGTTGAATCTGTGTGACTCAAACCAGCTCCTGCCTACACTGGCATGAAGGCCACAAAAAAAGCAATGGGTATCTACTCAGAGTCAACTTCCTTTGTAGGTGGCAAAGCATTATTCAATGTTATCGCCATTCTTTGTCTCACTTATTAATGTATGCTAAAAAAAATACCTCTATACCAGTAAATCTAATCATTAAACTTAGGGCAAGATTACCTTAAGACAAACTATTGGGAGATTGCCTCACCATGCTCCTGGGAGTTTGGTAAAGAGAATTGATCAGTGCTTGGAAAGCTGGAAGGCACCTAAGAGATGCCTGTGTGCTCCCATATCGGGGAAAACACTGAGCGTTAAAGACTAGTAGGTACCTTTTCAAGTAGAAAAAGGATCCAAATCACTGTCTTTTCAAAAATTCCCTATCTGATGCTTTTCCACTTTACTATGTTCACTGGGGACGCCAGGGTTGGACAGGGCAGACATGCATCTGGACTTGGGAATCTGCCGACCCAAGGACCATTCACAGCCGTGGTCCACGGTAACCACTCTTCTTGCTCTCCACCTTCCACCTGTACCCTGCCTGAGAGGGGCAAAGGTAGAAGAGTGAACTACACTGTCAGGAGAATGGGAGGACAGATGATACCTGGGTCAGAGAGGACTTCTTTAGCAGCTGCTATGTCAATGAATTTTTTCTCAGCTTTTTTCTTTTCTTCCTCATTCTGGAAGTTATCTGGATGCCACTGCAATGCTAATTTTCGGTATGCTTTAATGATTTCTTGCTTTTTGGCATTTCTGAAGGGTGGTAAAATAAGCAGTTATTAAAGTTGTGTCCTATCTACTACTTTAAAAATTAGAAGATCCAGGGCTGGGAAGGTGGCTCAGTGGTAGAGCGCTTGCCTTGCATGCATGGGACCCTGGGTTCAATTCCTCAGCACCACATAACCAGAAAAAAAAAAAAAAAAGCCAGAAGTGGTGCTATGGCTCAAGTGGTAGTGTGCTAACCTTGAGCTGAAGAGCTGAGGGACAGAGCCCAGGCCCAGAGTTCAGGCCCCGTGACCGGACCCAAAAAAAAAATTGAAGATCCTCTGGGCACTGTTGGCTCACGTCTATAATCCTAACTACTCAGGAGGCTGAGATGTGAGGATCACTGTTCAAAGCCAGCCTGGGCAGGCAACTCTATGAGACTTATCTCCAATTAACCACCAAAAAGCCAGAAGTGGAACTGTGGCTCAAGTGGTAGAGCCCTAGCCGTCAGCACAAAGAGCACCTAGGCCCTGAGTTCAAGCCCCAGGACTGGCACCAGGAAAAAAAAAAATCAGAAGAGCTAAGAGACATTTGTAGGACAAAGGACGGAGGAGGCTTGGTGGTAGAGAGTTTGCTTTGGCAGGCAAAGCCTTGGGGTAAATCCTTAGCACCAGAGAAGAAATTCTGTGTGTATGTGTGTATATTATTAACATGTGTTACACAAAAGGGTTTCATTGTATTTCCATATATACATACAAGGTACCCCAATCAAATTCATCCCCTCTATAATTCTTTCTCATCCCTTCTCTCTCCTTGGAATAATTTCAACAGGTTTTATTGTTCTACATTCATATATGTAGATAGAGCACTTCAACCATATAAAAATATGGAAAAAGCTGGGCACCAATGTTTCACACCTATAATCCTAATTACTCAAGAGGCTGAAATCTGAGGATCACAGTTCAAAGTCAGCCTGGGCAGGAAAGACTCTTATCTCCAATAAACTACTCAAAAAAGCCAGAAGTGGCACTGTGGCTCAAGTAATAGAGCAAAAAGAAGCTCAGGGACAGTGGCCAGGCCTAGAATTCAAGCCCCAGGACTGGCGCTCAGGTACATATGCACATGCGTGTGTACACACACACACACACACACACACACACTCTCTCTCTCTCTCTTTCTCTCTCTCTCCCTCTCTCATATACACAAAAGGAATACTTCACAAATTTGCATGTCATTCTTGCACAATGGCTTTTTCAATTTTAGTATTTGTACTGCCAAAGTAAGCACTCGCTCCTACTACTTAATCATTCCTAAAAACCCAGGCCTATTCACACCACTGCCTTTTTCTTTGCAGTGTGGAGGGTTACTGGTGTTTAGAGTGAGAACCTTATGATTTCAAAGCAAGGACTTTACCTCTTAAGTGACACTTCCAGCTCTTTTTGTGGGCCTGGACCACAGGCTTGCCATATAGTTGACATGACAGGTACATACCACTGCACTCAACTTTTATTGGTTGAGGTCCAGGGTCTTGCAAACTTTTGACCAGGCTAACCCTGGTCAAAATAAGATCCTCCAGATCTCAACCTCCTGTGTAACTAGGATTATATGCATAAGCCATCCTGCCCAGCTTCTTTGCCACCGACTTGTAATTCTGAACTGTATTATTCCTCTCTATCAAAGACATGGCTTTATAATGCTAAAGAGTGCTCAAATAATATGAGGAAAATTCCATAATAGAAGAAAGGAAAAAAGAGCAATTAGTAGCTTCAAAACAGTTCACTATAGCAATAAAAACTTAAATTAGTAACTTACCTTTTTACTCCCAAGATTTTATAATAATCTCGTTTCTGTGACTGTTTCAATAGTCTCTGTGCTTTCTCGAGACCTTCTCGGATTTGCTGGTCATTTTCATTGTGCTCCTGAGCAGCTTCATAATCCTGAATAGCTGTCAAAATAGGTTGAAGAGGAGGAATCAGAACTCATTGCCTTTTCTTCTTGAAAAACTGACACTAAGGTCATCACTGGACCCAGCCTCTTCACTCTGGCTATGACTGTTAAGAGCTTATGTGGTACTACCTCCACAATGTCCTTCATAAACTTCAGAAAAGTAAGGAAGCTTCTCACTGCAATCAACACTACCATGGCTTGTGATTTACTTGCCCACCTCCCACGTTTATTTCTCCCTCAAGGTATCTTAGTACCATCAGTTTCAATGAGTGCAGAGCAATTCTTACCACTAAGACTGGGAAAGAACAAATGGTCTGATATGAAGGAAGGGAAGTTAGAAAGGGAACAGAAGAAAATGTCAAAATGTCAAAATGACTATGTCATATACCAGTTTCAATAAAAAGCAAGTCTAATATGAAAAGAGTCGGATAACATTCCATAGGCATGTTTTAGAGTATTTTAAGTATTTAAAAAGTAAAAGACATCTTGATTTCTACTACTAGAATCAACTCAGCTGGCCTGAGACTCATCATTAGAAGACCTATATCAATGATAAGATGGCCTGGCTGGTAGCTGGAAATTAGATCTCAGGAACATTTCCAACACTCCTTGGTAAGAATGGCTCATTGGAACAATGACTTATGCTAAATATCCATCTGAGAGTCTGGAATTTGGGTACGGGCTAGGAGGAAATTGCCAGAAAAGCCCTGGGTCCTGGGTTGTACAATATAGAATGTTTGTCCTGGGTGGCTTCAAAGGGAGAAGTCTAGAATCTTCCACGCTAACCAGGTGCACCTTTGCACCTCACAGGAATAAGTCCAGCCCTGATGGGAACAAGCACATGCAGAGACTGGTGTGTCCTAGCAAATCTGGAGAGCATGGAACCAACATAGAGTTTTCTCAACACTGTCCTTTAACAGACAAGTAATAGATGGTTTAAATTTTAGCCTTTATGGAAATTCATTTCACTGTAGGAAAAAGGCATCACTGGATAACATGTTTGAGCATTTCAATAGCTAACATGGAAAATGTGTGAAAATGTACAGATAGAATTAGACTAACAAATTATCATTACCCTGCACTGTACTGAAAAGTGAACAAACACCACATTTGGCAGAGGCCAGTGGGGAACTCTCCCAGAGATTACCCTAACAATTTAATTCCCACCTCAAGTCCTTAATACTAAATATAGGATAGGATATATATTACCGCTACACAACCCATTAGGGTCATCATAAAATATGCTTTCTAACTTTGTATATAAACAGAAGGCCATAAATTTTACTGAGGTTTAAGTTCACAGCACTTAGGAAGGAAATACACTTTTAAAGTGTAAAATGAAATGCTTCAGCTTCAATATATGCATTTTTGCTACCTCTGCCATCTCTTCATTTAAAACTCTTCAGTCTTAGCTGGGCACTAGTACCTCATATCTATATTCCAAGCTACTCAGAAGGCTGAAATCTGAAGATCGTGGTTCGACTCTTGCCCAGGCAGGAAAGTTTGTTAGATTCCTTTTTTTTTTTTTTTTTTTTTTGGGGGGGGGGGGGGTCGGTCATGGGCTTGAACTCTGGGCCTCAGCACTGTCCCTCACTCTTCAGCTCAAGGCGAGCGCTCTACCGCTTGAGCCACAGCACCACGTCCGGTTTTGTGGTAGTTTATTGGAGATAAGAGTTTCACGGACTTTCCTGCCTAGGCTGGCTTTGAACTGCGATCCAGATTTCAGCCTCCTGAGTAGCTAGGATTACAGGCATGAGCCACCAGGCGCCCAGCAGATTCCTTTTTTTGTCAGTCATGGGGCTTGAACTCTGGGCCTGAGTGCTGTCCCTCAGCTCTTCAGCTCAAGGCAAACACTCTACCACTACTTGAACCACAGTGCTACTTCTGGTTTTCTGGTAGTTAATTAGAGATAACAGTCTCATGGACTTTCCTGCCCCAGCTGGCTTTGAACTGCAATCCTCAGATCTCAGCCTCCTGAGTAGCTAGGTTTACAGGCATGGGCCACCAGCCCAATAAGCTACTCAGAAAAAGCCAGAAGTTTTTTTTCAAGTGGTAGAGCACTAGCCTTGATCATAAAGAGGCTGAAGGACAGTACCCAAGCCAGAGTTTAAGCCCCAGGGCTTGCAAAAAAAAAAAAGTGTTGACAACACTAATGTCTTGAAGTGTTTTGGATTTAAGTCTTTCACCATTTTGAGTTAGTTGTTGTGTATGGTAAGAGAAAGAGATCTAGTTTCTTATGCATATATAGACATACCTATAAATATGCCTAAGCTTTAGATATAGTATATAGATAGATATCCAATTTTGCCTGAACTGTTCAGTTCCAAAAGAGAACAGGATAACTACAAAATATACAGGAAAAAAATGTGAATCACAAAGTGCATTGTCTAGCCATACCATACTTCACATAAAAAAGGTACAGATGATTTTAAATATAGAGACACTAGGAAATTTTCCCAGCCTGTCTTCAAGCTTACTGTTTGGATGAACTTGCCAAGACAGCTGGACTATGGGAGGGACCACACACTCTGAATCTTATACTGAACTGAGACTAACACAAAGCAGAGAGCTAGAGTGACAAAGAAAAGTATGTTCCCTGACACTGCAGAAAGGATATGGCTTACAAAAAAATTGGAGAAGAAAAAGGAGAGAAGATGGGAAAAACAACAGCACTGATAAGCCCAGTAATAGTACAAAGGCAAATCCTTCATAGAAGGGAATTTTCCTAGGTATTATGTGATGGGAAAACAGTGAGGAAGAGGAAACAATGGCTCTTGCCCCCAATAAAGATAAACTATACAAATAACCAAGAACAAAAATACCAACTCCTAGAATATCAGAATGCTACGCAAAGCAATACAGTGCAAGCGGCAAAAAGATCTCAGCAAAACAAATGACAAAACTTAACCCAAATAAGTGTCATATTAACAAATGTAAATGTGCTTATTAACTTACCTACTTAAAAGAATTATTAACTCACCTACTTAAAAGCAAAACTCAACTCTATGCAAGACACACCCGAAGCAAAGCAAGAAGAGTACAAAATAAAAGTATGGCCAAATCTTTGAAAAGCAATTGGAAATGAAGTACAGTTGAAGTACATTAGGCCACATCAAGTAGAGGAAAATGAAAGACTAGAAAAGAAAAGCCACACTATAAAGCAGACTTGACTGATATGCCAAATTCTAGCCTACAAACTAGAGGAAATGTGCTTTGCAAGTTCCAAGGGGAGACTCATGGACACTTTAGGTAAAACAACAGTTAATAAGCCGGGCACTGGCTCCCCTCCCTACTGGGGAGGCTTTGTACCTGAAGCCAACCCAAGCAGAAAAGTTCACAAGACTCCTTCTCAACCCACAACCAGGCCTACTGGCATGCACTGCCATCCTAGGCTTTGTCAGACGCTCAAGTAAGGCCAGCCCAGGCAAAATGTCAGCAAGACGCAAACTGACGAAAAAAGAGAAAGTTTACAAAAATGACAAGAAGCATTATTCCCCACGCTCTTTGAAGTATCTCAAGAACACCAAAAAAGTAAATGAGTACACTTGAAGGACTTTATATACATATATGAAAACAGACCAATGAAAAGCTGTTGAAATTTAAGAAGGGGGAGAGAAGGGAAGTAGAGAGAACAAGTGTGATTAGGGTACATTACATGCCTGATGGAAATGCTACAATGAACCCCTTTGTATATGTAATTTACGCTAATAAAATACAAAAACAGCCAGGCCCCAGTAACTCATGCCTGTAATCCAAAGCTACTCAAGAGTCTGAGATCTGAGCAAGAAAATCTGTGAGACTCTTATCTCCACCAGAAACCAGAAGAGGCACTGTGGCTCAAGTGGTAGAGCGCTAACCTTGAGCTGAGGGACAACGCTCAGGCCCAGAGTTGAAGCCCCAAGATTGACAAAAGAAGGGAGGGAGGGAGGGAGGGAGGGAGGGAGGGAGGGAGGGAGGGAGGGAGGGAGGGAGGGAGGGAGGGAAGAGAAAGAAAGAAAAGAAAAGAAAAGAAAGAAAGAAAGCCTTCTAAATAATTGACCCTTACCCTAATTAACAGTTTGCCATACATAAAATGCTGGGTTAAGTCATTTTTACTCAGAGTTTCTTACATTATAATACTTTTCTAGACTCATACCACCTTGGTGGTTACAATGAATCCAAGACAAAGACATAATGAAGTTTTTTTTCCAAAGAAGACAGAACTAACCCAGGAGTGCAGTTAGAGAAAGCCAGGGATAAGAGCTGTGTGCATACTTAGGCTGTAGTGCCTAGGTCTGTCTTACTTCAGTGCTTCTTTACCTTCATCATACATCTCTTCAATTAAGTAGGCCTCTGCTCGGTCTTTCAGGGCATCCACATTGTCGGGTTCCATCTGTAACACTTCAGAACATACTCGAATGGCCTCGACAGGCTTTTCGTCCTAGGCGTGAGTGTGAGAAGAGAATAGGTGGCAGTTATTCCCACATATTAATTATTTTCACTTCTGGGTACAAGTCTCAATTGTTACCTTAGAAAAGCAGTGGCAAATCCTTTCTTTTGAACGAATTGTATATTCAGCAACACTGGGCTCTGTTTTCATGACAGATTCATACTTGCTAGCGGCATCCATGTATCTATTAATGAGTGAAACATGATGAGGAACAATTCTGAAATTCGTATTTCCACAGCTGTAGAAATGACCCTCTTCCTTCACTATGTGTCACTTCATCAAGTGAGCTGAATGAGCACCTGCTTTCAAATTCTGCTCTGCCTTAATCCAGAGCAGCATGGTCAGAACTCTCAGAGGTAGAACAGAAAACACTTGGCCATGGGGCTGGGAAGGTGGCTCAGTGGTAGAGCACTCGTCTTGCATGCATGAGGCCCTGGGTTCAATTCCTCAGCACCACATAAGCAGAAAAAAAAAAAGCCAGAAGTGGTGCTGTGGCTCAAGTGGTAGAGCACTATCCTTGAGCTGAAGAGCTGAGGGACAGCGCCCAGGCCCAGAGTTCAGGCCCCACAACCGGACCAAAAAAAAAGAAAAGAAAAGAAAACACTTGGCCACAGAAGGTGAACACAGACACACTGAAACATGCCTTTGAGAAGAGTCAATGCAGTGTGCAGTGCTTGATGGAACATCATTGAGTAAAGAACCTAGCTCCCATCCCACCACTGGGCATTTTCAACAAAACATCATTTTATTTCCTGGTTACCACACATTTTCATGAAAGTAACAGATCTCCACTACTGTACATAATATAGGTCAGTATTAACAACTAAGTGCAATGTAATTCCTTATAGGAAGAGCCAGCTTAAATTCCCAACTTCTGAAATCGGCAAAGCTACTGCAGCATTTTCTTTAAATGGGTACCAGTCTTGCTACATACAGTGTTAAACAATGGCAAAATAAAAATATTCATAAGCCATTGTAGCATATTATTCCAAAAATGTAGCAGTCTTCACATTTAAATGTTGATATATTTAAAACACAGTTTCAAGAGAACATTTAGGCCAGCTGCCAGTGGCTCATGCCTAGCATGTGATACTAGCTACTCAGAAGGTTGAGATCTGAGAATCATGGTTTGAAGCCAGCCTGGGCAAAGAAGTCTGTGACAGACACTCTCTTTAATCTCCAATAAACTACTCAGAAAAAGCCAGATGTGGTACTGTAGACCTAGTGGTAAAGCACTAGCCTTGAGCAAAAGAAACTCAGGGACAGTGTCCAGGCCCTGAGTTCAAGCTCCAGGACCAGCACAAAACAAAAAAAAAACGTAAGCCAGCACTGGTGGCTCACGCCTGTAATCTTAGCTACTCAGGAGGCTGAGATTGAGGATCACGGTTCAAAGCCAGCCCAGGCAGGAAAGGAAAATCCATGAAACTCTTATCTCCAATAAACCACTCAGAAAACCAGAAGTGGCACTGTAGCTCAAGTGGTAGACCGCTTGCCTTGAGCTGAAGAGCTGAGGGACAGCACTCAGGCCCAGAGTTCAAGCCCCACAACCAACAAAAAAAAAAAAAAGAAACCAAAAAACATGAATATTGAAAAGAAAGGCTAGCTTCTGGGAAAGGGAAGTATATGAAGCTTTCCCAGTTCTTCCAGCTAAGTGTAACTAAAATCCCTAGACAATTAACAAATCTAGGTTTTAAAGCAAGACCCTACAAAAGAGAGCGAAAGCATACTAGCCAGGGCCCTCAACACATGAGGGTAAACAGGATTTAAGTTCCCTGGGTTTCATTTTTGCTTCATATGTCTCAAACCAGGAGCTAAAGATGCCAGTGATGCAAATACAAAACAAAAACCCAGCATAAGTCTGCCCTCCATGTCCAGAGGACCTGGGGATGATGGTGTAAAAACCAGAAAACTATTAGACAATAAAAGTTGTGGTCTAGTCTACTACTATTCAGTCATTCCTTCACCGTCAATACACTTTGTTTGTGGTAGGGCTGAGCAAGATTCCTACAACCCTTACAGTGGCATCAGAGATGGCTAAGGGGAAGCCAGACCTGGGTGCCAGGCTTACATCTGTAATTCTAGCTTCCTGAGTCTGTGATCTGAAGGATCATGATTCAAAGCCAGCCTGAGCAGAAATGTCACAAACTCTAAAATAGCCAGGAAAAATCAAGGCTGGAAGCATGGGTTATGTGGAAGAAAGCCAGCCAAGCAAGAAAGCCAAACAAGAACAAGAAGCTCAACCTGTTCTAACACACACACACACACACACACACACACACACACACACACACACACACACACACACACACACACACACACACACACACACACACACACACACACACACACACACACACACACACACAGATAGGTTTTAGGTTGGTAATATTTTTTTCCCTTAAATATCAACGAGACAAAAAAAAAATTCTACTTCATCTAACAGTATTAAGGAGATAGATATTTGCCCTCTCTTCCATTTAAAATGGACCAATGTCAGAATTAGGTGGTAGAAACTTTTCAGCTCTATTATAATCTATACTTTCTTGACTAAACATTATGTTGTACACAAACCTATTCAAGAAGAGACTACAAAGAAGATAAATAGAAAGAAATCCATACCAAGAAACATTGCAATTAAATTTCTGAATAAAGAGAAAAGGAAAAAAAATCCAGGAAATAAGAAAATGACTTTATCTTTATGGGGAAAACCCATCAAAATGACAAGGGACTTTTTTTTTAGGGGGGGAGTCCGGTCGTGGGCCTAAACTCTGGGTCTGGGCGCTGTCCCTCAGCTCTTCAGCCCAAGGCTAGCACTCTACCACTTGAACCACAGCGCCACTTCCGGCTTTTTTTTCCTGCTCATGTGGTGCTGAGGAATCGAACCCAGGGCCTCATGCATGCAAGGCAAGCACTCTACCACTGAGTCACCTTCCCAGCCCCACCAAGGGACTTTTTTATCAGCAACTATGGAAGACAAAAATTAGTGGCCCAAAATGTATCAGGTACTGAGGGAAAGATCTGTTAATCCAGAATCCAATATCCAGATAAAATCTCTAGAAAAACTAGAAAAGTCACCCACTCTAACGGAAGTTCTTTACTGTTGTTAGTAGTACAGCCCATGCTCAGCTTAAGTGTGCTTCTCTCTTTTCTTTTTTTTTTTTTTTTTTTTTGGTAAGTCACGGGTGCTGTCCCTCAGCTCTTCAGCTTAAGGCTAGCACTCTACCACTTGAGCTACAGCACCATTTCCAGTGGTTTAATGGCAATTAGAGTCTCACAGACTTTCCTGCCCCGGCTAGCTCTTCAGATCTCTGCCTCCTGAGTAGCTAAGATTACAAGTATGAGCCACCATTGCCGGGCGTGCTTCTCTGTCTACTCCTGGCCATTCTGGACTGTATTAAAATGCCCTGCTTTGGTACTCTCATAACAATAAGTGTGTGTGTGTGTGTGTGTGCGTGTGTGTGTGTGTGTGTGTGTGTGCGCGTGTGCGTGCATGTGTGTGTGTGTGTGTGTGTGTTTGTGTGTATACTGGAGGGGGGAGGTTATGTCTTTCCCACATTAAGTTACAAAATTTTTAAGATTAAAAACTATAGTCAAATGCATGTCTGTAACCTCATAGTTGAGTGCTTGAAACACGAGACAAAAAAAAAACATAATATCAATCTTCAGGTAAGGATTCACAGTTACTGTTAGTTATAATCTGCCATATTGAAGCAAAGTATAATCCTAGTATTTTTGCTAAGGCCTAGTGCCATCTAGACTTTCCCACTCTCAAAGACCAGATGATAAATAAGCAGTAGTTCATTTGTGCCAAAACCAGACATACAAGGAAAGGCCATATGGTTGGGAAAAGAATATTCTTACCTGCCATCTCTAATGAGCTCTTCAGCTGACCCAATCAGTTTATTAAGTTTCTTTACTTGCTTATAATGTGCAAAACACCTTTTGTGATCCTGATCAAGTTTAAGACATTCCCGAACTTCACTGTTCATATAAATAAAGAAAATACTCCAGTCAAAATAAACAATTAGTTCCCATGTTAAAGAAATTATGATAACAGTATTAAGACATACTAATTTCACAATTCATTATATTCACTAATTCAAATTAAAATGACATCCAGAGCTCTAAATACCTCCCCTTTGTTTCTATAAAATAGTCTTCACATTTATTTAAATAAGCTTATTTTATGAAAATAAACTACATGAAACTAGAATAACTTATAGGTAACAAAATATATAAGTTGAAATAACATATGAAAACAACTTTAATCATAAAATGTTATTTTTTTTATTTTTTAGTGTGAAAATACTGTACAGAGGGGTTACAATTACATGGGCAAGGTAATGAGTACATTTCTTATCAAGCATTGTTGCCTCCTCCTTAGTTTCCCCTTCCCATCCCTTCCTATCTCCCCCCCCCTTAATCATAAAATGTTATTAATGTAATGAAAACTTATGAGATTATCTTACTGTTATAAGGTAATGATCAGCTGGGTGCTGGTGGCTCACGCCTGTAATCCTAGCTACTTAGGAGGCTGAGATCTAAGGATCATAGTTTGAAGCCAGCCAAGGTAGAAAAGTCTGTGACACTCTTATATCCAAAAAACTACTTAGAAAAAGCCAGAAGTGGCACTGTGGCTCAAGTGGTAGGTGCTAGCCTTGAATACAAAGAGGCTCAGGAGAGTGCCCAGTTCCTGAGTTCAAACCCTAGCACTGGCAAAAACAAAAAGACATAAAGAAAAAGACTATGATCAGATACCAAATAATGACCAGATCAGCAGAACTGACCTGAGGGAAAGTTCGTGGTCTCCTAGTTGGTAGTACAGTGTGCTGATCTTATAAAATGCCTCAGTATTATCATTCTTCAGTTTGGATGCAGCTTTTAAGTCACTTATAGCCTTTCTAGGTTCCCCTTCTTGTATAAAACATTCAGCTCGAAGTTCACGTAATTCTGCATCCCAAACACAAACCTTGAGAAACAAAAGAACTAACCTTTAAGAAACAATGAAGTATGCATATTCATTCTTGCAGCCACATATTTTATCTGCATATTTATTAACATAAAACATCCTCAATTAATGTCATGACTTCTATTTTAAGTGTGACAAAAACAACGTAATAATTTCTCCAAGGGTAACTTAAGGAAGATCTAAAACAGCCTTTTTCCTTCCTCTATGATTATATAATTCTAAAATTCCAAATATAAGCAAACATAGTTTTGTTATTAGAGGGCTGTTCCCACTAATGCATGTTTTAAAAGAATATTCTATGATCAGAGTTTTAGATTCAACCAACCATTCTAATTTCTATTCAGAAAAAAGACAGGTTGTAAATTAGCAAAATACTTTTATTCTACTGATAAATAAAATTCTCTTTTGTAAAATGTTACATCTTTGAAGTTAAACCCTCTTATCAAAAAACAAATGGAAACCTGGTACCAGTGGCTCACACCTGTAATTCTAACTACTCAGGAGACTGAGATCTGAGGATCACAGTTCAAATCCGGCCTGGGTAAGAAGTCTATGAGACTTCTATCTCCAATTAACCACCAGAAAATCAGAAGTGGTGCTGTGGATCAAGTGGTAGAATGGGAGCCTTGAGCTGAAGAGCTGAGGGACAGTGCCCACGCCCAGAGTTCAAGCCCCAGACTTGGGGGAAAGAGGGGTAGGAGTGGGAGGTGTCACTGGTGGCTCATGCTAGTAATCCTTGATGTGCAGGAGGTTAAGATCTGAGGTTGAGGTTCAAAGCCATGGCAGAAAAGTACAGGAGACTCTTATCTCTAATTAAGAACCCAAGAATGAATGAATGAATGAATGAATAAATACATGCCAGAAGTAAGAGCTGTGGCTCAAGTGACACAGTAGTCCTGAGCAAAAAAAGGGTCAGGCACAGCACCCAATCCTGACTCCCAGACCAGGACCAAAATAAAAAAAGGAGAAACATGGAAGATGAGTATTACTTGTTTCTATATTGTCAGATGTCTGTAAGATTCACTAAACATTCTCATGCTCTATAAAATAAAGACCCAAATAAAATAAAAACCCAAAGTTTGCTAGTAATACCCATTGACGTATCTTTACATATTTTTTCCGAGTGCTCTGAAGTTATGCCAGTTTTTCACCTATATGAATAAATATCATGAATAATATGCTAGGTCAAAATGAACTCTTTTAACTAGTGGAAGGTAAAAATTATTCTGTACTTCTTTAATAAAGTATTAACAAAGGGCTGGGGATGTGGCTCAATTGGTAGAGCACCTGCCAATAAGCACAAGATCCTGAGTTCAAAACCCAAGCACCACCACCAACAAAAAGAATTAACAAAGTAATTTAGTACAATATCAATTCTACCACAGGCCACATCATAAAAATTTCAAATAAATGCCCAAGCTAAACACAAGTTGCTGCTAGGATTAAGTGAAACAGTACAAAGTGCTATGAAGATAACAAGTATGAATTCTGACTGTTTCCCTTCCTGCTGAAATTATTTATCATTAAATCCTAAACTTGTTTCCCACCAACACTCCTTTGTGTCTTCTCTCCTAGGAACTTGTCACTATAAACACTCCACTTTCCTTCCAAACATTATTTTGCCTATTTCTTCAGTCAATTCTTTCATCTTTTACTTTGTTATCAAGCCATGAATTTACTTCACTTAAATACAAACTTCAACCAAAATAGCAAAGCAAGCAATAAAAACATGAATTCCACATTATATTCAAAACACTTACTGAAAAAAAATTTGTTGCAAATCTTGTTCTTCTGTACAAAAATAATCTTTAAGCTCAAAGATCAACTCAATTTTATCCTGTGTAGGTTCTTTGTAGTATACAAGCATGTCAAAGTATATAAGTGTGCCTCAGAATGCAAAGTAGCATCAGTCTTGCCAGCTGTAGTGTGTAAGACACTTACCTCTAAAATCTTATCAAGGAAGGTTATAGCAGCAGTATAATCTGCATTCTCGAAAGCATCAAGTGCTTGTGAGCGCAAACGTTGCATTTCATCAGATTTCATAAGCTGAGACTGAGCTTCCTTTTCTTCATTTTCAGTTGGATTGGATTTGAGCTATATACATATAACAGAAGCAGCAGTTTATCTCTTGCTATGCACAAACCTCTAACCAAATACTGAACAACTAACCAGGTACAGAGGACCCAGTGACCCCTTGGCCAGCTTCCTTACCCCATAAGCTGTGAGATAATAGAAAGGTGTGGCTGTTAGCAGCTAATCTGATAACTAAGATGACTAAGGCAGTAACAGAAGGTGAAAGTTTCACCCTTTTTCAGTGGCCAACTTACAAATATTTACACAGATTATAGTGTGTTTTTAAAAATTAACATCCAAATTCTGAATTAATCACTTAGGTATAAGTCATATGCATTCTCTTGGACAACAAAGTAAAGATAATAGTACTTACACCCTGCAGAGTAGTCCTGGAGAGATTAAAAGAGTATTCTACATAAAACATAGAGGAAGTACTCCCAAAGTTTTAGTGGAATTTCTGACTACCTGCTACGGAGGGTTTTTTTGTTGTTTGAGAGGTGCATTCTCTTAGTATTGAACTCTACCCCTATTCCGTTTTCCAATATAACCATAATACATAAATTTGCAGTAAGGACAGAGTGTAAAAGATATAATATATACTTTCAGAAGATGCTCAGTTTATCTCCCTTGGCACTATATAACAGCCAACTTATACTGGACTTAAAAATGGCCAAGCAGCCAGATGCCAGTAGCTTATGCCTGTAATCTTAGCTACTCAGGAGGCTAAGATCTGAGGATCATGGTTCAAAACCATCCCACGCAGGAAAGACTTGAGACTCTAATGTCCAATAAATTACTCAGAAAAAGCCAGGAGTGGTGCTGTGGCTCAAGTGGTAGAATGCTAGCCTTGAGCAAAAAAAGCTCAGAGACAGTGCCTAGGCCCAGCATTTAAGCCCCTGGACTGGCAAAAAAAAAAAAAAGGAGGGGGGCACAAAGGACTTGAAAGGACATTTATATAAAAATGGCAAACAAGTTCAGGTAACAGTGCTCAAACTCAATCATCGGGAAAATGCAAATGAACACAATGAGATGCTATCCTACACTTGTTAGGAAAACTACTGCTATCATTGGAACCTAGAATGTCTCCAAAAGGCCCATTTGTTCAAGGCCATTTAGCTTAATCCTCAGTTTGGTGTTACTGAAATGCACTGGAAACATTTAAGAGGTAAGGGCTCACAGGAGATGTTAGGACTCTGGAGATGTCCTTGAAGGTGACTGTAAGAGGGGAGGGGAGAAGGGAAGGGAAGGGAAGAGGGAGGGAGAGAAACAAACAGGAGAACAAATGCTGCCCATGGTAGAGAAAAAAGAACACTGGTGGTAGGTATGTAAATTGCTATCATATTTCTGAAGAGTATGCAGTTTTTTTTTAATTTAAATATAGAACTACCATATGACGTAGTAATCCCTTTCCTAGGTATACATACTATGGAAATGAAATAATCTCCTCATAAAACTATCCGCACTATCATAGTTATTACAGCACTACTATTCATAATAGAGCGAAGGTATAGAGACAACCTGGGTGTCTGCTATAGTCTAGATTGGGAATGTCCCTCAAAGCTGGGGGACATAACTTAAGTTATTTTGGATGCTTCCAGCTGACACATATCTAATCACTAACTATCATGGAAGTTGACTGAGTATTGTACTAAAGATATATTGTATTTGAATTTACATTAACTACAATCAAAATGAAGATGCTTTTTCCACTGATTAGTGGGAACATACATTAGTACAGCCAATATGAAAAACCAGCATGCAGATTCTTCAAAGAACCTTTTTACATAATCTATAACATTCTTCCAACAAATCCAAAGCACTTTACACTCTGTAAGGTAGCCTTAATAGAGGAGACTATAAAACTCAACTCAAATCAAATGAAGTCTCTCATGCCACTAGAGGACATGAAGAATAGCTCAGCTGACATCTCTATTATCATGCAGGACAGAGCAGAATAACTGAACTGAAGTCAGGATCACACAGTGACCAGGTACACTTCATCTGCCAACCATTCATGTGATTCTTTGACATCAGTCACCAAATATTAATTCAGAGAGTGTGATTTTTTTTTTTTTTTTGCCAGTTGTGGGGGCTAAACTCTGGGCCTGGGCGCTGTCCCTCAGCTCTTCAGTTCAAGGCTAGTGCCCTGCCACTTGAGCCACAGCACTACTTCTGGCTTTTTTCTGCTTATGTGGTGCTGAGGAATCGAACCCAGGGCCTCATGCATGCAAGGCAAGCACTCTACCACTGAGCCAACTTCCTAGCCCCAGAAAGTGTGATTCTTATATCCTTAAATTTTCCATTTGACTAGAAAATACAATTACATGTTTTGATACCAAGGCAAAAATAGATCCAATATGTTCCCTCAAAATATACCATTTTCATAGAACCACATAAAAATTAAGCTTAACTTACCACTTTTTTAAAATCATCTTCTGCTTCATCAAGTTTTCCTTGTTTGAGTAATAAATGACCTCTCTGTAATCTTGCCTAGAAAAAAAAGGAGGGGGAAGGTTGAGCTGAGATTGCATTTCTAAATTTTCTGCAAACACAAATTCATTTTTCCATGGCTCAGTTTGACTTGGTATGGTATAAATAACTTCTGGAATCAATGAATGTATATATTTTTTGTTGAAGTATGCTTCCATAGAAATATATTGAAAAATGTATACATTGAAAAAAGTTTAACCACAAAAGAATATTAAATACCTAATAGGCACAGTCATTTTATAAATGGTTGCTAGAGACTAGGGTAAAAATGGGAAGTGACTGCTAATACAGACTTTGGGTCTGTTTCTTTGGAGTGGTTTGAACACGGGGGCCTCACACTTACTACCTATGTATTCAACTACTTGAGCTATTCTACCTGTCTCCTTTCCTGGTGATTACATTCAAGATAGGGTCTAGCTCTATGCCAAGCCAGCTTGAACTGTGATTTTATTTACACTTCCCTTTGTTGTTGGGACAATAGGTGAATGCCACTGCACCCAGTCACTGATCAAAATGAGTCTGAAAATCATTATGCCTGGGCTAGACTTACACCACAATCCCCAGATCTCCACCTCCCAAGTAGCTAGGATTACAGGCTTGAGTCACTGTGCTCAGCTCCAAGGTTTGTTTTGAGAGGGATAAAAATGTCCTGGAACAAGACAGTGGCAATGATCATACAACATAGTACATATACAAATAGCCAATAAGTACTTGAAAATTTTGGATCTGATGGTGTGTCAATTATATCTTAATTTTTAAAACATTTTTTACATCATGGTAACTTTTTCCACTAAAATTAACTTATTACTTGAAACTTTACTTATCAAACCTCCAGAATAGGTTAATTTTTTTAATCCTCAATGTTAAACATTTACTCTAATCAGAATAAAACCTCTATACCCATCTCTCTGATATCCCTTTTCCAATCTTCATAATACTGTCTCTTCTGAGAACGCCATCACTCTAGCAAACATCTTCCAGAAAATAGAAACCACACTGATATTCAAAACTTAAACTTATCTATTATTTTTACAGCACATAAAAATTCCCTAATCTGCTGTTAAATGAATATATGAAAGCAAACTTGCAGCCATTCCAAAAAGCTTATAGCTAATCATAGTCTATGAAAATTGACTACTTCATTTTTGTGAAAGGTTGTGCTTTACTATATAAAGTAATAGATTGAATAAGAACTTGATAGTGGGAATTCCATATAAAAATAATACATTTCAGGGCTGGGAAAGTGGCTCAGTGGTAGAGTGCTTGTCTTGCATGCATGAGACCCTGGGTTCGATTTCTCAACACCACATAGCAGAAAAAAAAAAAAAGCCAGAAGTGGCGCTGTGGCTCAAGTGGTAGAGCGCTAGCCTTGAGCTGAAGAGCTGAGGGACAGCACCCAGGCCCAGAGTTCAGGCCCCACGACTGGACCCCCCCCCCCCCCCAAAAAAAAGAAAAAATAATACCTTTCAAATCAAACACTCCACATCTAATCAAATATCTCAATTCATTTTTTAGTATGGCAGAACATAAACAAGGTAGTCAATCAAATTTCTTTTGAAGCCATCTAACTCATTACCTGCCTGTGAAAACCTCACCTCTGGAACACTGCTAAGGTTTGAATTTGAAATGGGCCCAACAGGTGCCATGTGTTAAAGGCCTGGTTCCAGCCAATGGCACTATTTCTGAAAGTGGTGGGAACTTTAGGGAGTGCCTAGAAGAAGCAGGACTCGGGAAGTATGTCACTGGAGACCCTTCCGGTACTTTTCCTTCTAGTTCCTGTCTGCTTGAAGCGATCAGCCTCCTCCTTCTCCACATGCTCCACACAATGTTCCACTTCACCTGGACCCAGAATCAGAGACAAGCTCTATGGACTGAAATCTCTGAAACCATGATAAAACACTTCATTCCCCCTGCAGTTCAAGTATTCAGTCAGAGTGATAATAAAAATAACAAATACACTCACAAAATGAATTCTCTTGCACACCTGTCACAACCCTCAAAGTGAACTGCCAATCTTCAAAATATAGAAGCATTAGAGTAGAACTTTCTCTGAAACTTGTACATTGGTTCCAGAAGAACCTTTCTAATTCAGTATGATATCCTCACCAAACTACTTCCTAATCAAGCCATTTACTCTTTATTCTTCCTGCTACAGTCTCAGTTGAAGCCTTGAATGCCTGGGTTACAGAGATTCTCCTGACAGCCTTCCAAGTGGGAGTACAGGTAAATTTTGGTAAATTCTGTGACCAGAAATTATAAGGACTTCAAATTTCTCTTCTTTACCACTCAACTCATCAAAGTAGCTTTGCTACTCTTCACCTATGCCTCATACGCCAGACCATTCCATAAGAAAGCAATGACCTCTTTGACGTTCCCTGAAACTGCCCTAAAGTTAGATACACTTACTGCAGTGAAATCCATCTTCAATTCAATCACTTTAGTTAAATCAGGAAGTGCTGCTTTTGATTTACCCATAGCTAAAAATACAGTAGCTCTCCGATAGTACGCAATATAGTTATCAGGGTCACCATCTGAAAATTAAAATAATAAATATTAGTTTTCAATAATTTATTCAAAATCAATCACCTGAAGAATTTTAGTTGCCAATCCTATTGAGGCAACAAGGGTTTGGGATATAAGTCAGTGATTTAGCTTACCTATCATATTCAAAGTCCTAGGTTCAATCCCTATTACCACATTTAAGAAAAGAAAGAAAATTTGTGGAGGGGAAGGGGAAAACAAATCGTTTAAATAGGGATACAGGTGGACCCATTGCAGCAATGAGACATACAAGTCGTTATGTCGAAAACGAACTTTACAATTTTGGTGCGGGGGTGGGGGGAGGATTGGGGGGTTGGGGGGAGGATGGGAAGAAATGGGAAGCGGAAATAAAGGAGGAGGCTACAATGCTTGATAAGAAATGTACTCATTATCTTTCCCATGTAATTGTAACCCCTCTGTACAGTATTTTCACAATTAAAAAAAAAAAAAGAAAGGCACTAAGAAAAAAATGCTTTCATCAAAAGTCATGAAGTCTGGGGTATAGTCAGTGTTACATATAGTACATGCTTCACATACACAAAGCCCTAGGTTCATTCCCTATACCCCCAAAACATACACATATAGTATGTATGTATACATATGTATACATATTTATATACATGTCAGTTGAGGTTACTCCAAAATATCATTACAAATGAATGGGGTCGAATGGAATCATTGCATATGGGTCCAAAAACAATAGTCCTTGAACCAAATCCAAACCACATACTTCAGTTAAGAATGTCTTTTACATGTTTAAAGAAATGTCAAAGAAAGAAAAGAGAAGAGAAAAAGAAAAAGAATAAGGAAACCGCCGGGCGCTGGTGGCTCACGCCTGTAATCCTAGCTACTCAGGAGGCTGAGATCTGAGGATCGCGGTTCAAAGCCAGCCCGGGCAGGCGAGACCTTGAGACTCCTATCTCCAATAAACCACCAGAAAACCGGAAGTGGCACTGTAGCTCAAGTGGTAGAGCGCTCCCCTTGAGCTGAAGAGCTGAGGGACAGCTCCCAGGCCCAGAGTTCAAGCCCCACGACCGACAAAAAAAAAAAAAAAGAATAAGGAAACCACAGGACTAGATGACTGCAAAGCCTAAAAGATTTACTGCTTTCTCTTTAGGGAAGTTTGCAAACCTCTGGTCTAGAATATTAACTCTATTCAACTTTGAACTTTTGTAAATATGTAATTCAGTCTTTCTTTCCAGATGTTTTCTTACACTGTTTAAGAACAGGAACTCTGAGCTGTGTGCAGGTGGCTACCACTTATAATCCTAGCAACTCAGGAGGCTGAGATCTGAGGATCACAGTTCAAAGCTAGCCTGGGCAGGAAAATCTGTAAGACTCTTATCTCCAATTAACCACCAGAAAACCAGAAGTGGCGCTGTGGCTCAAGTAATATAGTGCTAGTCTTGAGCTGAAGAGCTCAGGGACAGCATCCAGGCCCAGAGTTCAAGCAGAAAGAAAAAGAAAGAAAGAAAGAGAAAAAGAAAGAAAGAAAGAAAGAGAAAGAGAGAGAGAGAGAAAGAGAGAGAGAAAGAGAGAAAGAGAAAGAGAGAAAGAGAAAGAGAGAAAGAGAGAGGGGAGGAGGGGGGGGAGGGAGGGAGGGAGGGAGGGGGGGAGGGAGGGAGGGAGGGAGGGAGGGAAGGAGAGAAATTAGGAGAGTAAGTAGTTCAAGGCCAGCCTGGGCAACAAGTCCAGAACAACCCATCTCAACCAACAAAAGCTGGACCCAGTGGCTAATATCTATCATCACAAAATACTCAGAGATAAGTGGGAGAATCCTGGTCAACCCAATATGAAAAATAACTAAACCAAAAAAGGCTGGGGGTAGAGTGCTACCATCACAAGTACGAGAAGGCACACTACATTCAAATCCCAATACCACCATAAAATAGAGAGAAAGAGAACAGCAAACTCAAATCTCCCTTTTTGTTTTCATAAAAACAAATTACTGTAATAATAGGATGGTAATTATTCTAGGAAAATCATTACATATTATTAAAAAACAATAACCCCTTGCCGATCAGGTTTATAACCAGTCACTCTTTTTCTTTTTCTTTTTTTTAATTCCTAACTTGGGACTTGAACTCAGAGCATGGGCAATGTCCCTGAGCTAGCACTTTACCATTTGAGCTACTTCTCCACTTCTGGCTTTTTCTGAGTAGTTTATTGGAGATAACAGGCTCACAGATTTTCCTGGCTGGGCTGGCTTCAAACCAAGAGCCTCAGATCTCAACCTCCTGAGTAGCTAATATTACAGGCATGAGTCACCAGTACTCAGCTAACTCATCACTCTTCACTATCTCAAATCAAGGAGAACCAAACAGATTTTTTAAAAAAAGTCTCTGAGGGAAGTCAATATCAAAACGTTCTGGAATAAAAGATTATGTTATGACTCAAAAAAAACTCTCTAGGCCTTCAGTCTCTATTCAGCCATATTACCTGCACCATGACAGACCAGAAACAGTAATAAAAGTTGACGCTACAAGGCATAAGAAGTAAAAAGAAGCAACCCAAATTATAAGGGGCAGCTGGAATTTGACAAACACTAGATCCAGAAAAATCTGATTACAAAGGCAGAACACTATATAAAAGATTGAGAAAAGTTTTCTATAGAAATTGAGTTATTCTTGATATTTAACAGTAGTAAGCCTCAATTACCTCATCTATACATTCAAGTATTACATTTATTATTAGATTATTAAAGTATTTTAATGTTTGTTTAACATGAACAAGTACTTACTTAAAAAGTTCTCCATAAAAAACGACTACTGATTAGTATTTACTAAAACAGCCACAGAATGGGTTAGTTTATGATACAAACCTACTGCAGCATGAAACTGAGATAAAGCATCAGCTAGTTGTCCAGCTGCAAGTAACTTCTTGCCCAATTCAAGATGTTTCTCAACATCTGCATTTACTCCACATTCAGCACCTAAAAACACATTTTTAAAAATCTGTTAATTTTTGATAAACCAAGATTTAGATCTAAAAAATAAAAAGTTATCTGGCTTAGTCATCTACTAAGATGAGAAAAGTCACAGGAGCTAGAAAAAAATAGAGAAAGTGACAATAAATCACAAACAGCATTTCATTTTAGAGTATAGGCAACCCCCAAACAGATCCACATTCAATCTACCCAATGGAAATACTACAAGTCTACAAAACAAAAGGAAAACTGTCTAACAGTGAGGTTAGAACTGCTTTATTAGGAAAGCCTGCTTGGGCCAGGAATGTGGCTTAGTGGTAAGAGTGCTTGCCTAGCATGCATGAAGCCCTGGATTCAATTCCTCAGTACCACTAAATAGAAAAACCTGGAAGTGGTGCTGTGGTTCAAGTGGTAGAGCGCTAGTTTTAAGCACAGAGAGGCTCAGGGACAGAACCCAGGCCCTGAGTTCAAGCCCCAGGACTGGTCAAAAGAAAAAAAAAGGTAAAAAGAAAAAGAAAACCTGCTATTGTAGGTAAGTACTTAATGAGCAGGCACTAGTGTCTAACCTTGATAAAGGGTTACACAAATATATGCACAGTTATAAAAGTTCAGCAAGTATATACTTAAAAAATTAATGTTTCGTTGCATGTTAATTTAACAGATAAAACTTGGTGAGGTAGATGCTCAAGTATGTGGGGGCATGTATATTGATATTGTTTTCAAATACTTTTATTTATTTTTGTCAGTTGTGGGGCCTGAACTCTGGGCCTGGGTGCTGCTGTCCCTCAACTCTTCAGCTCAAGGCTAGCGCTCTACCACTTGAGCCATAGGGCCACTTCTGGCTTTTTCTGTTTCTGTGGTGCTGAGGAACTGAACCCAGGGCCTCACGCATGCAAGGCAAGCACTCTATCACTGAGACACCTTCCCAGCCCTGAAATACTTTTATTTTCAAAAGAAGGCTTAATATGAAAGATGTAGCAATGAAACCTCCCCCATATAATACAAGCTAATTAAAAAAAAAAATTAACAGAGAAATGTCCCAGTGGATGTGCTTGATAAAAAGTATAATTATAGGGCTGGGAAGGTGGCTCAGTGGTAAAGTGTTTGCCTCCCATGCATAAGGCCCTGGGTTCGATTCTTGAGCACCACATAAACCGGAAGTGGTGCTATGGCTCAAGTGGAAGAGTGCTAGACTTGAGCTGAAGAGCTGAGGGACAGCGCCCAGGCCGAGTTCAAGTCCTGGGACTGGCAAAAAAAAAAAGAAGTATAATTATAGAACATTTAAACAGCAGAATTCAGACAATAGGTATTAGAGTGAGTTCTAAAATTCCTTCAACTTTGTGATACATTCAGTACCATGTTGGAGAAAAACACACTGGAGTGCTACGATGGAAAATATAAAACAGGATGCTAAATACATTATATGCATTTGTCAACTGAAGGCAAGCGAAGGTGCTTAACATAGCTAAATAAAATTTAAAACTTAGTCATGGTCACCATAGTTCCAGTGTTCAATAGTGGCTAGGGGAAAAGAAATAATTTTGTTTACCCTTCATAGCTCTTAACTGGGCCTCTCTGTAATAATAAAACAGATTGACAAGAGGAAAAAAATTATTAACACGTATATAGCCTAAGTAACTCAAAATAATGTAGTGAATTTCTAGGTCTCAAAGAAAGCATATAAACTTTAGGCATAAATACCATCCCTCCATCTGGTATTATATTGCAAAGGGAAGACATTTTGGGGTGGTGTAAACCAGCATGTTGGGTAAGGAAGAAAGAAGAGAATGATGAAAGGTGTGAAGATTATAGAACATTATATACATGGAAACTACCAGAAAAATGCTAAAAAGGGATTAAGAAAGAATAACATAGATGATGTAAATTTGATCAAAGTACATTATATACATATTGTCAATATCACAACGAAACCCTTTGTACAATTAATTTACAGTAATAAAAAAGTTAAATGAAAAATGCCATCATTTAATGAAACCACGAAGAACAGAGAAACCTCCGTTTGGGAAGATGGCCTGGAAGTATTGAAAACAATAAGATGTATGCTTCAATTGCATTTAAGTACATATATGCCATCACACTGATAAGGCTTTTAGAGAAATAGAAGTCCAATATTTTAGCTTGCTCTCTTTGCCATTATGATTTAATCATTAAGGAGTAGATGATATGGGTGATTCTAATAAACAGCTAGAGAAGAAAAAGAAAAACAAGAGGATAAATGATTCTGTGGAGCTATAGCAGTAGAAATAAAAACAAGAGAAAGAAGATTACACATGACTTTTATCACTAGACGTGACAGTCACATGGTGAAAGATTAGGCATCCAGGAAGATAACCAGAGCAACTGAGTACTCACTGCCATTTCAGACACTAAAATCAACTGAATTCATTATTTCACCTAATACAGGAAAAAGCTAACTAAAATTTATCTTGCTACTTATCCTACTCACAAAGTAGTTTTACTAGCTTCCTGTATTCCTAATCTGTAGTCTTACTACAGTAAGTACTTGTTGCACTCCAATAAATAAGTAGAGGGGAATTGTTTCAGGAGAAACTATAGTATACCCATTGATTAATAAATTCCAATATTGTTGAGATTTTGCTATGCTACCTATAACTTAGAGTAGATTGAATTCTTCAAGTTTTCTGTAATATCTGGTTAATGACAATCCAAACTAGTCATCAAATTACTTGTACCTTTCTGTCTTAAAATCTCTAATAATAAAAACTGCTCTCTTCCCAAACAATATTCTGCAAGCTGAAGTTGGATGTGATCTGACTTGAGTGTCAGAAAGATCACCACACAGCTCATGTATGGAGATAACCTTGTGCTTCTGTCTCTAAGCCATTAAGACAGCACTAGACACACTCAAGCTGCAAAAGATGTTTCTAGCCCAACACCTTAGGAAGAACTCTTTTTGACTCATTGTTTTCTAACATTAGAAACTGGTTTACGGTCTGCTCCAATTATTGACTTTTGTTTTTCACTACTTTCTATAAAATTGCTTCTTCAAAGCTACCAAACTCAGTTGTCAGTCATGTGGCTCTTTTCTAGTCTTACACAGAGAACTCCAGTGGAACATATGGTCACAGAATTTTTTTTCTCTTGATGCTCCCTTTTATGTCAATTTAATTTATAACCTACCAAAATAACATGAAAGGGTGGAAGAAAGCCCTACTCTCTCCTCAAGACAGGAAAGAGGAAACATTAACTTTGGCAACCTCAAAATTTAGCATTCTTCAGGGCCCTTATTTGTTTGAGGTATAATTTGAAAACCTCTGAATCATTTAACAGTCTGTTAGAAGGCTGGAGGCATGGGTCTAGTGATAGAGCACTTGTCTAGTAAGCACAGGTCTGAAGTTCAAACCCCAGTACCGCCAAAAAGGAAAAACAAGGGTTGCTAGCATTAGGAAGTAGTTGAGGGTTCTCAATATTTCAGTAGGCTGGTAACTCATTGCTATTCGTCCCATTTAAAATAATGAGGGGAGTCTCTCCCGCTGTAGGAATCCAATTACAATAGACCTTATATTTATCTTTGTAGTTCCCTTTGAATAGTCACTACCTTCATAGATAAAAATAAAATACAGTACAATATGATTATGAGAATATATGCTGGTGCTCTGTGGAAATTCTCAATGCAAACAGATTCAGAAACTGCTTATATTTGGGTAGGGAGGTCACCCTATAGTTCCTTCTACTTCCTTACTATAACAAAAAAGATAGCCTGCTTTATATAATATAAATTACAGAAACTGTTTCACTTCACAAATGTTACTAAGTATATATTTAAAATAAAGATGAAAAAAGCAGCCACTTAAAAAAAACAAAAAGGAGTGGAAAGCCTAGTGCTAGTGGCTCACACCCTAGCTACTTAGGAAGCTGAAGATCACAGTTCAAATCAAGTCCAGGTTGGAAAGTTCATAAGACGCTTATCTCCAATTAATCACCAAAAGCAGGAGGTAAAGGCTTAAGTGGCAAAGCACTAGCATGGAGTTCAGTGACAGTGCCCAGCTCAGAGTTCAAGCCCCAGTACTGACCCATTCACACATTCATTCATTCACATTCACACACACACACACACACACACACACACACACACACACACACACACACACACACACACACACACACACACACACACACACACACACAAAATGAGCCAGGCACTGGAGGCTCACACCTATAATCCTAGCTACTCAGGAGGCTGGAGCTGAGGGTCACAGTTCAAAGCTAGCAAGAGCAGGACTCTTAACTCCCAATTAATCCCCAGAAAATTGTGGCTCAAAGTGTTAGAGCACTATCTTTGAGCAAAAGAGCTTAGGGATAGCACCTAGGCCCAGAGTTCAAGCCCCATGACACCACCTCCTCCCCCCACACCCACCCCCTGGCAAAAAAAACCCAGCAGAGGTATCCATGCATTCACAGGTATAGCAGTGGGGGCACAGTAGAAAATAAGATATAAATAAGATATAACCAATTTCTCAAGTACTATAATACTAAAGTGACAGAATGCCTGAGGAAAGGAATACTTATTCCAGATAGCCGATTGAGAAGATAATGTTTGAAATTAAAATACTTATAACAAGTCTTGCATGATAAGAAATACCCAGCATGCAAAAACCACAACCATCACCAGGTGCCAGAGGCTCACACCTGTAACCCTAGCTACTCAAGAGACTGAGATATGAGGGTCGTCCTACAAAGCCAGCCAGGCAGGAAAGTCCATGAGTCTCTTATCTCCAACTAACCACCAGAAAAACAGAAGTGGCGCTGTGGCTCAAAGTGGTATAACACTAGCCTTGACTTGAAGACCTCAGGGACAGCACCCAGGCCCAGAGTTCAAGCCCCACAAAAACAAACAAACAAAAAACCACAACCATGCAGAGGCACAAAAAACAGTACAAAGGACCAAGCAGGACTAAGCTCAACTTCAAGGAACTAAAGAATAATTCTAGCTCAGTAAACAAGGAGGAAGGATAAAAGACTTA